TCCATTCTGAGTGCATGGCCCATATATTTCTAGCGGCACTTTATTCTCAAACTGGATACATTATCTTGCTTGGTCTCTTGTCTTATTTGCGTATTAGATCTGAAATCTGTCCGGTGGAGACTCAGTATTCTTCCAAGACATCTGGTCTTATTGTCTAGTTTTGTTTACCTATAGCTACCGTTGCTTTCCAACTCTCGCATACATAAGTTAGCACTGGAATCACATAAGCTTTGAAGATCTTAGGGTTCATGTGTTTGCCGAATGTCTTTGACTTCCAGAGATATGTGCCGGTTTGTTGAAGTCACGTGCTTCCTTCTAGCTTGGCTTAAGACTGTTGATCGACTACCCAACAAGTCACCATCATAAAACATCCATTGTTTTAGAATCAGATTTCTAGCTCTAAATGTTTTTATTATTGCTGTTTACTATTTATTACAAATGTGCTACTAGGCTTACGTCTCCAACACAGCGATAGGAACGCTCGCTGCATGCTTAAACCACTCATGCATAAACTGTAACGTGTGATAGCTACCAGTTACACGTATAAGATGTTGGATGCACACGCCTACTCTCAACAGTAAGGTGACGAGGAAAATAACATGCGAAATCTGCTAACGCTTACATATACGAACTGATTATACCGTGCCTACAGGTAGAACATGCGCACGCAAGCATAGGTAAATACAGGAAAAGGTCCTAGTATGGAATGTTGTATTTACTGTGAGGTGGCCATCTCTCATGTGACTCAACAACAAGAACAATTACAAAATCTATAATAACAACAGTGTAGTTTGTTAATCACCGACCATAACACAAGTACAATTCAACACAACAGTCATATCGCAAGACGGGTTATTGTTATCATACTAAACTGATATTAATAAAACCGAGGCTGTTATTATTACAATTGTGATTACTATTAGCATTCCAACTTTAGCAGTATGCTATGACTACACAAATTACCCCAGATAATTATCATCCGCAATATATATATAAGTGCCAATGATTAGAACCAAAAACAATAATAACCATATGTTAGAAAGTCTACCTTGTGTATACGTTTTACAATGTATGCATGATTACATTTGTTACGTTATTCAACTGGTGTTACTTTTAAGATTTATCACAATGAGACATTACAATCAATTAATTTACAAGTCTGTACTAAGTAACAGTTTGAGATGATAACACGCCCGCTATAGGCATCGCAAATCTAATGTTAACAGATCCGTAACTCTATGAAACATGTCACAGGATGATATTGACAACACAGTAATCAACGAATAGAAACATCTAATATGAGAATACCGTGAATAAAATCAAGGTAGCAATTGTTTTCTTTTGTATGCCTCCCCTGCGGCTACAACCTAGTTTTGACAACAAATAATTTAACCAGACACGTTTCTGATGTCGATCAAATATGAACTAATCCCAGCAACCCCTTTTGACAGCGGGGAACATCTATACTGGACCCCCTACGGCTTTAGTAAGCTCGACTGACCTGTAGGGATGAGAGTGTAAACTAATTGTCTTTTTTTTTTCTTGTCTTCCTTTTTGTGTGTTGGGTCGGTCCCTGCTAACTGCTATTTGAAATCACAATGACCCTAGAGCCATTTACAAAGTCAAAAGGAACCCGACGGCTTTTCTTTTAATATAGTGGTTAAAATTTATCTATGAATTTAATCTGGTCATATCAAGCGCTGGGGTGATTAGAAATACTAGTAGCATAATGCATGGTACTAGGAAAGACGGTTAGGGGCGGGCCAGCATAAAGATGAGCACATCATATTACTAACACCTTGGGTAGGACAGTGCACGAGACGGGACAGCTGGCGAAAGACATTTTCTTTCAGGCAGACAGTGATGAGAACGACGTTCTGCAGAGGACCTGCTACATGTTGAGGATTTTTTAGGCGGATGTGTTGGAACAGCAACCTTTCAAGTTTAAAAAAAAAATTTCTTTTCGTACACATTTTGTATTTTAAAACACAAATGTACGTTTAATGAAACAAACATACGATTCAAGATCTGAATGAGCAACCAAGATGACACCTATTCTTGGAACACGCAAGATAATTCTGACAGCAATCAACAAATGAAGACATATACCAACAGATATTTGATTGATTGCGGGCTGACCAATGCACTCAGGGGAGACAAGCGTCTATCTAACGTGCTAGAAAATTCATCAAAACAGAGCTCACGCACTACTCCTCGTGGATGGTTGGCATGCGTTCCCTGGGGTCTGACCGTTCACTCTACTGTCTGCTTGTTATGTACATAGCGCAGACCGTAGAAACCACCGTCGGGGCAGTGTCGTAATCTCTAACCTCCCAATTTTTCTGCGCGCGCGCGCGCGCGCACACACACACACACACACATGCATGAGTGTGCTTCATACCAATATTGATTATCAGTCCATGGTCAGCATCTAACAAGGACCAGCCGTTTCGAATTCTGCCTGTGTTCTTGTGTTAAAGTCATATTCCTAAACTTCGGTATAGTTTTTCACGGTTCTTCGCTGGCTGCTAAAGACGAGGATGGAGCGTATATGGGAATGTCCCGATTAATCTTATGTTTGTTCTTAACTCAACTCATCCTAGACTAATTTGCGAAAAGTTGTAGTGGCTGAAGAAATGTAATCTAGATACTTAGCCAGTGGTTAGGTTTTACTTTGACTGACCATGCTATAACCACAACCAACATTCTAGATCAACTATTCTACTTGCAGCGTCAATTATCAAGTTGTTACCCGTCAACTGTTGTTATCACACTTGACGTCAGTGCGCTGTTTATCCCCGCGTTACGTATAGACAAAAGATAAATATCTGTCACGTACATCCCAGCGTACAACGATCACGTTTGCCCACTACTACATGTGTATACCGCGGTTGTAGAAACCCCATCGGTATCACTAACTCCTGTATGACAGGAAGAATTCACTAAATGATGAAAACTTTGTTGTTATCCCTGTAGGCGAGCAGCACACTCATTTCCAGCATAAACATGCATCTCGAAGCCTGGCTACTGATAGTAGGCCGTTTTCTAATTCCGTTGTATTTTCGATGATTTCTCGGTAATTACCTATTCTGGAAAGGTGATTTGTTTGTAATAGCTCACATTTTCCTCTTGACTTTATTGTTAAATACATAAATAATACACAGACTGTTCTGTTTTATCGAGGGGGAAAAAATCGCTTTGTTTCTTATTTTCCTCACTTGTATTGTATAATGTTAGTTAGGTAACAAAACAAATTTTACAGTACCGATGTGAAAAAAAAAGTATGATAAAAGATAAAGAGGCGTGTCTGCAACTGTTAATCAAGGGAGCGTAAATCCCTGCACCTCTTATAATTTTCCAAACTGAAGTTTTGAATACACCAATATCATGGTTCTGTGTAAGTTTAAGATTTCATTTCTTCAGCCTCAATAATTATTTATCATCCAGCATTCTGCGTATTGCTTGTTAAATAACTCATTTGTCAAAGCTATCAATTGTCTTTTTCCCTTCTCGCTCAACATATGTTTATGTACGCTCAACATATGTTTATGTACGCTCAACACATGTTTATGTAGACACAACTGGCTCTTCTCTAACCCATCTTGAGAATGCCCGGTCGGTAATACCTAGGACATGTTTTGTTTGTTTCTCTGGTTTCAAATAGAATGTAACAGACATTAAGCCTCAAATAATAAATATTTATATAACTGCATTGTTACAGTGTTGAATGTAATGAATTTAATTTCAGCACCATACTGATAACATATGAAATAGTCAGACAAGTTACGCTTTTGAAACTCCCGATGAAACTTGGCAAAACATGGATTTTACAGAGCATGTCGACACATTGTGCGCAACGGTCGCGGCCTTATTCAGAATTCACATAAGACACGAGATTCGTCTTTTTTTTAACGGTTGCATTTGAACTTAGTGCTGTATAGCTCTTAATATGCAGTTTAGCGAGGATCATCGTATATTTTTACACCTCTAATAAGCACAAATGCATTCTAATTACTTGTTATGGAGGAACAAATCTGACATAACATTGAGAAGTAAATATTAAATTGAATTACATCCAATATTCTACTACAGCTGAGATATAACTGTTTGAACATAGGCACCGATTTCTAAACGCACTATACTATCACAGTGAGGATTTGCTGTGACTGAGTTTCTTTTGCACCATCGTCTAAAAGGACGTTTCAAGAGACTCTTACCCGCTGCTTTTGAGTGGAGGGAAGATCTCTTTTTAAAAAACATCAAACTTATTCATTCCAGACAGAGACTGCCTATTTTGACCTAACATACCTAGTCGCCTCTAACGACTAACCTTGTTTAGTTACAGTATCACTATTCTGTATCTCCTTTTAATACTACTGTAGCTCGCGCACGCGCACATGCGCTCACACACACACATATATATATACACACACACACTCGCACTAACACACATACACAAATAAATAATAATAAACATTCATAAAAAACCTTTTAGGAACATTGTGATGACGCTAGATGGCCAACAGCTGCGCAAACCAAACACATACACATTAAACATACTAGCACGAGCGCACATACAGAAATAAGTAGTAATAAGCATTTAAAAATCGTCTTATATAAAGATAGCATTGATGCTGGGTAACCCACGTAAAGTCAATTAGGCAACCAAGTATCTCCGAAACAAAGTTATCAGATAGATACTAAAGACAGTCAACATGTGTAATGTATCCAAACTGTCCAGCTAACAGAAAGCAAACGTGTATAAAACAACAGTATCAAACACCATCGTATAACATCAAGCACAATCATACATAGTCCATTTTAAGAGAAATAAAACCATCTACTAAACAAAGCCGATACCTCACATTTGGTACCCATACCAAACAATTGTACGGCCAATACAAATCAAATATATAGTGTACTTCTAAAGAGGCAAAGTAAATCTATAACCTAACAGACAGTAGAGAAAAGGAGGACAATAAATGCCATGGTAGATTTACCTGATGCTGGGCCTACTGGTGACCGATGGTAATCTCCATTCACGTGGTTGTTAACAGCGTTCTTGTCTCTGTGGATTCAACAAAAGATGAATCAATCAATAGACAGACAGTAAGTAACCGGCACTCGCAAGAAGTGATCTGTGCCAGGATATGTATATTTAGAAAATGGCTTGTAGTTAGAGGGTCAGTATGCCTTATGCAGTAATGCGTGCTCAACTGCTGATCTGTAGTGACTGCTTCTTTCATCAAAGACGAAGTGCATTCTAGTGACAGGCTTTATGGTATTTCTTGCGGGCGCCTTAAATGCCCTTAATGTGAGTGCACGCTGTTGGATATTGCCGGACTTAGGCTGTGATGTGGTTTGCACTGACATAGGGAAGGAGCAATTATGAATACACTACACAGTAACCCGTTTGCCAGAAAGATGCAACCGCCACTGATAAACTGCTGATAACCGTTTCGTAAAAGATCATTATAATGGTTGCGATATGAAAAGGCCCATACAACAAAACACACACTAAAATTAATAAGAACTACAGCAGGTGTGATCAATGCGACGTACACTATTTGATGCGATAGTTTACGCTGGAAATAGTTTAATCCCCTCTAGAACACGTGGGTTTGACTCATCGCTCAAGATATATAATGCGAAAAGTAACCGACTGATAAACGTTGTATTGTTCTCTTGGAGAGAGATGCATCGTATAAAGTCTCTACAAACTCAAGGGCAGAAGTGAAGTGGCGATTCTCTATCCTCTGGGGCAGTGGTTCTCAATTTTCCTAATGCCGCGACCCTTCAATACTTCTCTTCATGTTGTGGTGACCCAACCACAAAACTGTTGCTTTGTTACTTCATAACCTTGGTGAATATGTGTTTTCTGATGGTCTCAGACGACCTATGTGAAATGCTCGTTCGATCCCCAAAAGTGTGAGTAACAAATGGGAAGAAGGCGAAAAGATATAGAAATATGTGCAAGCGGGACATGCATAATACATGTATTTAGTTGGGAACAGGAAGCATGGATTGTGTTGTATGAAAAATCAGGAATGAGGAGAAAGGGGGGAAAACTTATTGCAGATACGTAAAAAAAATGCTTAAGCGTCATAGAAGAAAAGTACATACACGCTATGTGACAATGATCCTGCAAATCTCACGGACTTCCGGTTCCGACATTGATAGGGAATGGATGACGTTTGAGAACTGGGCTTATGTTGACCGTTCTCGTTGTCGTTTCTCCTCCAGTTTCGATGTTGCAAGATTATGGAAGTTCAGTTTGCAGCTGAGCTACTGAGTTTAGTGCTCCTGGCGGGACTATGAGCTTTAATTATCGGTTATTGACTGAGTTCCAGATTCGTACATAATGGCAATGATGGGTGATGTTTGCTGTGTTCCCGGGACAAGGCGTGTGCTATAGCTGCTATTCAATTGCTGACCGTGGCTGCAACTTGGCTGAGGACATGTGGAGAATGGTAAGGAATCGTTTTGATCTACACATCGCCCAGTTATTCGTCGAATGAAGTTGATTTTCAGAACGAAACCTGGTCTCGCAGTGTGTTTAAGGAGGCAAGTACCTTGTGGTTTATTGCCAGATCAAATTGTGTATGTTTTGCTGACTAAGGACATTGTGTATGGATACGGCATTCGCTTGAAGTATTCTGCGTATCTGACTCATTTTGTGACTGGAATCACTGGCATAGGCGGTTGAGCAATTATGGGACAATGTCTGTTTGCTGTGATGCCGGAACCGTAACGACTAACTAACTAACGCTCTAATTATGGAAGACTTCTAAAGCGAGAGGGCCTTGCTTGCAAGTCACACGCGCCATCGCCATGGGCTGTAATCCCGGGCCTCCGTATAGTACGAGAAAACACTATTGTCTCCAAAGGTAGAAAGGTGCCAACCATATTGTGGTGGATGTTAAGCGGCCACTGCCTATATACTATATTGATCTACAAGTGGAGCGATGCTACAGTATATCATGGCGCCGGAACCTTAGAACTCAGGTCCGTTGAGGCCCTTCTCCCCCCCCCCCCCCCACCACATATTAGTTTCCGCAATATGAGATTTTTTAAAAACCTTGAACTATTTAAAGAAATTATCTTTCAAAGTATTTGTTTACACATTTCATATTATTTCAAGTACAATATAATATGTCTTAGCCATTTAGTGCATTTTTTTCTTTGTTGTTGTTGGTATTATTATGTATTTATTTATCATTTTTGTCACTGCACAATTAAACAAAGTTTAAGTTCCATGACACCCCCACCCAGTTTTCTTGGTAAAGATGTGTCAAAAGTTTAATAAGACATGTTTAACTGTGCAATAAAAATAATTAATATTATTGATAATTATTATTTTTATTACACAATTAAACCTAATTACGCCAAAAAATTGTAGAGAAAAAAAAGGAAAAAGGGGGGGAGGGCGGTTGAGCACCAAGTTTCTTGAACATCGCAGAGGAGGGAGGATTCATTAAACGATTTAGAGTTCAGGGCCAGTAACGGAAGTGCACTGGTAAGCGACACCGGCACCGGTTGGATACCTGCAGAGTTTCTGCCAGATAAACGGCCGTGAAGTCAGGCGCCTTGTCATTCCACTTCTTCCGCGTGAAATCCCACAACACAATTCCGGCGGGAGTCGGGGAGAAGAGATGGCCGCTGATTTCCGCTATAACCAGGCAGTGGCTATAAAACTGCGGCAGCGCGCGTTTTTCTTTTTTTAACCATGAATCGTTGGCACTGTGCCACACCATGGAAAAACATGCTCAGGCTCGCCGCTATCTTAAATGTGGCACCAGTTCCTTCGAAATCAGCTGCCGTCGATCATTTAAACGCGGACACCTGGCAAACACATCTCGATAAAGTGCACATAGTGCTAAGTCAAGCCACGACCGGCTCAAAGCCGGTCTTGGTCAAGCCATTGTGTGCCAGCTCTTCGTTTGTCCTAAACGATTCTTCTCTTCTTTTAAAGATGAATACAGAGATGCTTCGAACAGAGCGGCTAGCTTCACTGGAAAGGTCATGGGTGGTGAGCATACTTTAGATCTTTTCTCTAGGCCATGCCGTGTGGTAGGTAATAAACAGGCAGACAGATTGGCTGGATCCGCACCACTGGGTGGTACATGACAAGGCAGATGTGGTCAAGTCCCTTTGGAAACAAGCAACGGAATCAGTAGAGAAAGACGATTATTATGGCCTGGAGAGAATGAGGCACCTGTGTGTAACCAGAGAGTCTGGCCGGCTCACTACACTCAGAGGAAAGGCAAGACAGACTTTTAACCAGACGGTGACCGGTACCATTAGTACTGGAACTCCGTGCTCTCTGCGCTGGAGATAAAGACGGAGCATGCATGGGAATGCCCCGAGTGCTGTGATGTCAATTCTTGACTCAACTTAAAGATGCTGTTACTACGTAATTATTGATCACAGAATATGAGGACATTCTCGAAGCCGCTGGAGTGGGAAAATATATAACATAAACCACAGGCGCCAAAACATGAGGGCTCAGGTGGGGGGGAGGGGGGGGGGGGGTTCATGTCCACTTTTTGTTCGCTATGGAGAAGGAAGATTGAGCATGTGTGGAAATGTACCAAGTGTAGTTCTGTGAATGCTTCTTTCATTCATTCTCCCCGTGTGGGTTTTAAGGCTCCCTTATGGGGGAAAACAAGAATAGGCCCCTGCCTCCCTAACGAGCATGTCGTAAGAGTCGAATAAATAGGGAATTTACTTCGACGTCAGAGTGCATCTGCATGAGAAGCAAGGAACCAACTGTCTGCACACAAATAGGTCAGATCTGTAAAACAGATGTTGACGCAAAGCTTGTTATGGAACAAGACTAGAGTCCAGAAGTGGACGAGCAATCTGAACTTTCCGCCGGAGTTTATAGTCAGTAAACACGAAGAAGAAAACGAAGATTTTTTCTATTTTAGCTTGTATTGTGAAACTGCAGATGTGGCTGTATGGACACAAAGGACCAACACTTGCGGTATTACTCGAATCTCATGGCACAGTTCCTTGGCTCCCAGGTCTACCCAGCCTTGAAAATGTACCAGGTGCAGTCCTGGAAAGTTAAGGCGTCGGCGTGATGATAACCACATCACCCACCAAGTTCCAATTGGTGTATAAAATATAGGTCTAGCCCTATATGCCCAATACGCTTAAAGGCGTGGAAAAGGGTCCTTAACTTTTTTTTCCTTTACATGGCACCGCTGTACAGCACTCCAATACGCCAAGCCTCGCTATGTTTCTAGGGTATTCGCTCCTAGAGTGATGGCAGATGACTTCCCCTTGTTCTCTCACAGCGGAAGTAGTAGCCAGTGATCGATACACTGGCAGACAGACTGCCCGTTAGACCTGACCCAGTATGAACCAGCCATGGGCGAGATGACGGATGTCCTTGAGTCATCACTTCAACAGGAACTTAACTGCTGCTACGGCTCTGCTGCTGTATCGTGGTGGTGTGTGCACTGGTTGACTGATTCAGCTAATAGGGTTCAATCCCCTTCACAGTAAGACTTTTATTTTGGGTCTCTCTCTCTCTCTCTCTCTCTCTCTCTCTCTCTCTCTCTCTCTCTCTCTCTCTCTCTCTCTCTCTCTCTCTCTCTCTCTCTCTCTCTCTCTCTCTCTCTCTCTCTCTTTAGCGGGTATGAAAGAGAAGTGATGCTTCTGATTTGCTTTTCCACTGAGAAAATATGGACGTCTTAAGATGGACCGAATGTGTGTATCAACGGTGCATGACGTTGAGCACCTACAGCCAGCCAATATAACAATGTAAAATGTCGGCAAAGCCTGCGGTCATTATAATAGCTCGATAAATACCCTGAGCGACTCTTGTAAAAGTGAGGTGGGCGGGAGGGAAGAATGAAGGGAGAAAGAGCAGAAGGAGAAGAAGGAGAAGAAGAAGAAGAAGAAGAAGAAGAAGAAGAAGAAGAAGAAGAAGAAGAAGAAGAAGAAGAAGAAGAAGAAGAAGAAGAAGAAGAAGAAGAAGAAGAAGAAGAAGAAGAAGAAGAAGAAGAAGAAGAAGAAGAAGAAGAAGAAGAAGAAGAAGAAGAAGAAGAAGAAGAATATGATGATGATGATGATGATGATGAAAAAGAAGAAGGAAGAAGAAGAAGAAGAAGAAGAAGAAGAAGAAGAAGAAGAAGAAGAAGAAGAAGAAGAAGAAGAAGAAGAAGAAGAAGAAGAAGAAGAAGAAGAAGAAGAAGAAGAAGAAGATGATGATGATGATGAAGAAGAAGAAGAATCTGTATGGTGCTGTCTCCACAATGAAGGTTGGCTGCAATGGATCCCCAACACTGTCTTTCGGCCTGGATGTACGCACTCTCTCAGACTGCCATTTATTCATCTCTTGATGTTATCCTCCCACTTGTATCTCTGTCTGCCTCTTGTTCGTTTTCTGTCAGCGTTTCATTCCAATACCGCTTTGACACCTCTCTTTTCATTCATAGCCTCTCTAGATGAGCTGTATATGATAGTGCTGCTTTCCATGAAATGCGACCTCATTTTCTGCACATCCACATCTCCAGGGACCCAAAACAATTTTTCTAACAGGGCCAACTAGACACCCCTTTAGGGAATACAAGCACATCAACATACAGAAGAATCAGTCGTTAGAGTGGGCAATGTTCCAAACTAAAGAACAAAATTATGATTGTGTATGAAGGCATCAATCAACATACAGAGGCGTCGCAACCTGGAGGTTTAGGGCAATTATAGAATCTTTTATGGAGCTTCGGAGGGGGAGGGGGGGGGAGTCAATGTGAGTAAGCTTTGTTAAAATTCGCAATTATAGTATTTTACAATATTATTATTATTATTTTAGTGTGTGGTGCTGAATGATATGTACATATTCAATAGTAATACATTTGAAATAATACGAAACGTACGAACAAATGCTAAAAAATAGGACATCGATAAATGGTGTATGTGTGTGCGTGCGTGCGTATGTGTGTGTGTGTGTGTGTTGGGGGGCGGGGCGTTCAAGATTTCTGAGCCGCCAGGTTCTGACCCCTAAGCTACACATTAAGTCAGCGCATTAAGAGCGGTTGTGTATCGAGATCTGTTCTGGGTGGCCTGCTTATCCGACAACCTTTAGCGGTTTCCAGAGAATCAGAGGGGTGGAGATAGAAGAAACTGCTGACAGAGAACAACGCGGCCGCTGAAGAAAAAAAAAAACGTGCGTTTCTCACAATATGACACTGGGCCGAACGACGGAAGCCCAGAATGCACTGGATCAATAACAACATAAAAGATATTTGTCTAGATTTATGGTAGAAGAAAACCATATCTTGAACGTGGCAAGGCAAACTTGCATGGGATGAGGTAATATTTCTTAAAGAGACATTTTTTCTAACGGTTCTGCCATTCGTACGTGCCAACCAGCACGTGAGTAAACGATGGCAGAAAGCAGCGATTCTCAACCTGTGGGTAGCAACCCTTTCACAGGGGTCGCCAAAGACAATCGCAAAACAAATATTCATTGAAGTTATGAAGTAGCAACGAAAATAATTGTATTTTTGGGAACTGTATTAAGAACTGTATTAAAGGGTCGCCGCATTAAAAAGGTTGAGAGGCACTGACATAGGGAAGAAAACTAATATAACGCAAGAAACATGGGAAGAACTATGTGTGAAACGGTCGAAAAGTAAGTTATGTGCGGAAAAGGCTAGCGAAGTAAACGTGCGCCGCGGCAACAATCAACTTTAGTCAATGGATTATGAATGAATGAAGTTCATCCCCACCAGGACCGCAAAACGAGCGATAAACACCCGGTGACAAAAAGATGACCATCTATGTCAGAGCTGACTGAAAGTACACGAGACAGAAGGTTGTGGGCAGACATGACTACCATCGCCACACGGCATGGACTTTGAGAAGAAGAAAACACAAAGTGCCACCATTTGGATGAGAATTTTAAAAAAAAAAAATAGAGATCCCTTTTCCCGCCTTAGACGCATCGGGAATATGGGAAGAGCGACCCATATTTTTACACACCAATCGGCACTGGATGGGTAATGTGATCAACATTACGCCGGCCGTCTTTACTTCCTCAGGACAGCCATCCTGGTACCCATTTTAGGCTGGGTCGACCTGCGACGCTCCATACCATGATGAAAATCCACGCAGCCAACAGTGGGTTTCGATCGCGGTACGTTGGATTACGAGTCGGACTGGCAACGCCTAAGCCACGGACGCCGCTTGGATGAGAATCACCCGGGCTCAAGTTCTATACATCCCGTTCAACGGTTAGGTTCTTTTAGGGAACCCGACCGCAGCCGAAGTGGAGCTTCAAAATAAATTTAAAAATTGCATCCCATAACAGGACGTCAGTTGCAAGTTATCAATGGATTATGTGTAGATTTAGATGGATATTTACACACATTTAGTGAGTGTTTAGAACACAAATCTTCTACAGCCAGAGGCGGCCACCCAACATCTACATCCTTTCATCCATATAATAAATATCACAGAAGTACAAACATAAGCAACGTAAAAGAACGCTGGTGTAAAAACATAAACGCAAGATATCCAAATAATATATGCACAGTTCCCAGAGGGATCACATACTAACTGGAAAAGTTCCAGCGGATCTCCATAACGGCTCATCTAAGCAGGTTTAGACACGGCCATTTTCCCGTGTCATTGCATCACCAGGGAGTCGTTGACGAGACCCGGTTACAATATGACAACAAGCTGGCAGAATCCACGGTCCCAGAACTGTCATGAATTCTTTTAAGTTCATTTTTCCTTCTTGTGTTTAAATGACAAGGTTTTTTATGTATGCCCAGTTAGAGGTATTGAAGAGGGATTTGATGGTTGTGGGTGAGTCATCTAGGAGAAGAATGGAATAAGGCCTGGACATACATTCGACAACTAGGCTAGCTAGGTTCAGCTGACTGGGGACGGGCAAGTGTTGGAGTGACTTGGTTCAGCTGACTGGGGACGGGTAAATATTGGAATGACTTGCACGAGCTGACTGGGATCCAGAAAGTGTTGAAGTGGCCTTCGCCAGATACGTGGGGCTGCGAAAGTTTTGGAGTGACTTAGTTCAGCTGACTGAGGCCAAAATGGTATCTGAGCGGTCTGTGTCAGCTAAGTAACGCCCAGAAAAGAGAAAGTAGGGAGCTAATGCTGGTCTCCAAGCCCAGTTCAGAATCAGTCATCGCTAACGACTACGGGAAGAAGGGAAAAAAAAGCGTCAAAAAGAGGGGGGATGGGGGGGGGGGGGGGGGGGGGTATAATGGTCATATGAAATTATGTCTCAATATGTGAGGACCCCTTATTTCGCTGAGTTTATAGATTGGTCAGTTTTTTTCATGCTCAACACATTCAGTACCAACTGAAAGCCACCAAGCTCCTTCTCTTGAGCTCACATGTCCTAGCCCGCATAGTTCTAAAGGTTATATCCGGTTGGTGTAGCCCCAATTATAACTTCCTTACAGGTTGAACGGGATGTCTGTATTGTTGGTCTGCCGTCAAGATTGATATTTTTTCAAATAACAGACAGTATGGTAAACTTTTAAGCAGCAGCCCGGAGGGGATAAACCAATGGGTCTCTTGAGCTCATGGAAAACAACAGCCATGCGCTTGCTCAATAGCGCTGTCTGTCCGTCTCGCGCTGCAATAATTTTGGAGCTAGTGGAAGCAGAATGACCAAGTAAATGAGAGATAAAATTCAAATTTTCCGTTCGGAATGTAATTTCTTGTTTTCTTATTTTGATTGTACTTTTTCTTTCTTAATCTTTAATGAGATTTGAGAGCAGCCTCTGAGCCCCTCGTAAGTACATGCACAGTCCTTTGAGTTCACTGGAGCGTCGGATTGGAACCTCAGCTCTACAACAACCTTCCAAGACAGGGACAGATCTAAAACGACTGAGCATGCGAGGTCGAAGAAAGAAGACAATCAGTGATGTTACAGAAACAGTGCTTACCTCCGTCTTCCAAGACAGAGACAGATCTAAGACGACTGAGCATTTGAGGGCGAAGAACTTATTTTTCAATTGATAGAAGAAAGAAGACAGGCAACCAGTGATGTTACAGACACAGTGCCTAACTCCGTCTTCCAAGACAGGGACATATCTAAGACGAATGTGCGTGCAAGGGCGAAGAGCTTATTTTCTATTGACAGAAGAAAGAAGACAATCACAGATGTTACAGACACAGTGCTTACCTCTGTCTTCCAAGACAGGGACAGATCTAAGACGACTGAGTATGAGAGGGTGAAGAGCTCATTTTCTATTGAGAGAAGAAAGAAGGCAGGCAACCAGTGATGTTACAGTGCTTACCTCTGTATCAGGAGACTCAGTGTGCCGGTAGTGGCGTTCTTAATGAGCGCTTGCACCTCGTTGTGGTTTAATCCGCGAGTCTGCTGCCCATTGATGGTCAGCAGAGTATCGTCCACTTGTAGGCCCTCATAAAATGCTTTACTGTTTGGGTTGATCTGAAAATCCAAAGAGACAGGTCATTATGGATCTCTTATTTCTCTTGTGTATGCAGTAACACAACAGCATATAGCAGTTGCACGGATGACAACGAAATTGTACTGATGGGTAGAAACAACTTATAACTTACAGCCACGTCACACTTGTTAATTCTGTGGTAGGTTTGGGATATCACAGTCAGGCCATACTTGTTTATTATATAACAAACGTGGGATCTCAAAGCCATGCTTGTTTGCAAATTATGTATGAATGCAATATAAACCATGAAGGCATAATCCTAAAGATATTAAAGAAATTTAACTAAAGCGATGGAAACTTATGACTGAAGATACTGAAGACCAAAACGCGGCGCCAAATGAAAAAGAAGATACCTAACTTGAAAGCTTAATTACACAAGCACGCGTAGGTATTGGGGAAGGGGGAGCAAAAACAAGCAATAAAGACAAATGGTAATGAAAGGAGACAGTTGAGCGACACGAAGTCTTATTTTGAAAATCGGTATTAGGAGTGAGACTGCGATATAAATGAATATCTGGACAGTGTCCAAACACAGTTATTCTCTCAATATCAGGTGGCAAACACCAATGGTGGGATGTCTTAGAGATCAGTATGACAGAAACTATATTTTGCACACAGTTTTGTCTTGAAAGATTTCATCAACTAGTGGAGTGAAATCGTAGCAGTATCAAGACTGCACACTGCCTAGAAAAGTTTCTCTCTGGCTCGATTCAACGCTTAAGTTTTTAACGTTACCATGCGTTATAAGTTTCACTGCCTTTATAAGTGGCCAAGCAATGCTAAAATAGCGGAATGATTAACGCATGCTTTAAAATATATAAACAAACGTACATGAACGTGTTTGCATTAATACGGTGATAACAGGAAAAACAATCCATTGATATCATCACTGGGAACTGTGTATGTGATAACTGCACACTGTTATCATGATTAGCTTTATATCTAATGTCTGGTGGGGCACGGCCGAGTGATCTAGCTGCACAAAGATAACGACAATAATAGTCCAGCCATATACACATTGTTAAAGGCTAGCATATGCAATTCTGTAACAAGAGATCTTGTGTGCTTCCAGAATCTTTACCAAACTTCTGCTTGTGGGAATGAATCACAAGTACAAACAAGGCAAGTTCAAGTATTCAACTGTGCTGGCGGGATTCTTGAGATCTTCCATATCGTCAAAACAGCTCCTTCTTCTTCTTCTTCTTCTTCTTCTTCTTCTTCTTCTTCTTTTTCTTCTTCTTCTTCTTCTTCTTTTTCTTCTTCTTCTTCGCATTTACTAGCTTTAAACTCCGGCGGCAAGCTGTGGTTTTTCGCCCACTTCTGGATTTTAGTCTCGTCCCAGAATTTGACCTGTGCACGCACATCCGTTTCACATTCTTTTTGTTTGCAGACCGTTGTTCCTCGCCTCTGATGCAGATGTACTCCGAATTCGAAGCAAACATCTAATTTGTCGACTCTAACGACAGACACAGTGGGTCTATTCTCTCTCCCCCCATAATAGGGCACCGGAATCCCCACGTGGAGTCAGAACAGCAATGACAATGAGTCAAATGTATTTAGGCTTGAGTAGGGGGTTCATTACTTTTTAGTCACAGTCAATTTCTATGAACGTCAAAAAAGGAGGCACAGGGCTGGACGCCTAGAAGAGTGACGTGATTTGCTGCAGTCAACCCAAGAATAGAACGATGCAATCCAACCTAAAACTTGCTGAATAGGATAGCACTGCTAGTGTGTGTTCCGAGGACTCATTTGAAGGGAGGGGAAACAATAGACCCACTATTCGCCAACCGACGAAAACGACACAGCAGCAGCAGCAGAAGAAGAAGAAGAAGAAGAAGAAGAAGAAGAAGAAGAAGAAGAAGAAGAAGAAGAAGAAGAAGAAGAAGAAGAAGAAGAAGAAGAAGAAGAAGAAGAAGAAGAAGAAGAAGAAGAAGAAGAAGAAGAAGAAGAAGAAGAAGAAGAAGAAGAAGAAGAAGAAGAAGAAGAAGAAGAAGAAGAAGAAGAAGAAGAAGAAGAAGAAGAAGAAGAAGAAGAAGAAGAAGAAGAAGAAGAAGAAGAAAAAAAAGAAAAAGAAGAAGAAGAAAAAGACTCCGTGAGTGAAAACAATAAACACTGTGCATTTTAAACTAATAGACAAATAAAGACAAAATATGACTATGGGGGACAGAGACAGCGTGTTCCGAGGCCCCATTTGAAGGGAGGGGAAACAATAGACCCACTATTCGCCAACCGACGAAAACGACACAGCAGCAGCAGAAGAAGAAGACGAAAAAAGAAGAAGAAGAAGAAGAAGAAGAAGAAGAAGAAGAAGAAGAAGAAGAAGAAGAAGAAGAAGAAGAAGAAGAAGAAGAAGAAGAAGAAGAAGAGAAGAAGAAGAAGAGAAGAAGAAGAAGAGAGAAGAAGAAGAAGAAGAAGACGAAGAAGAAGAAGAAGAAGAAGAAGAAGAAGAAGAAGAAGAAGAAGAAGAAGAAGAAGAAGAAGAAGAAGAAGAAGAAGAAGAAGAAGACTCCGTGAGTGAAAACAATAAACACTGTGCATTTTAAACTAATAGACAAATAAAGACAAAATATGACTATGGGGGACAGAGACAGCGTGTTTAGCATGAATACTGGGCACACAAATTACCAAAATGCTTGTTTCACAATGTAATCTCACAAGATGAGTTAGTTTTGTTTGTGTCATTATATACGTTCAACTCTGAATAGTACTAAAGAGACAGAGAGACAGAGAGAGAGAGAGAGAGAGAGAGAGAGAGAGAGAGAGAGAGAGAGAGAGAGAGAGAGAGAGAGAAGGAGTGTGTTTGTGTGTGCGTGTGTCCGTGGAAAGAAAAAAAGGGGAAGGGGGAATAGCGTGGGCGTATCTTTGTGATGAGTTCGTAACTAGATAAAGTAAACAGGTATATAATTATACAACACGACGAAACAGTGAAGAAAGTAAAAATAATAAAGTAGCTAAAAATAGACAAAACATATAATCATACTCTCTCTCTCTCACACACACAGACACACACACACACACATGCATATAAAAAGAAGAAAGAAAGAAAGAAAGAAAGAAAGAAAGAAAGAAAGAAAGAAAGAAAGAAAGAAAGAAAGAAAGAAAGAAAGAAAGAAAGAAAGAAAGAAAGAAAGAAAGAAAGAAAGAAAGAAAGAAAGAAAGAAAGAAAGAAAGAAAGAAAGAAAGAAAGAAAGAAAGAAAGAAAGAAAGAAAGAAAGAAAGAAAGAAAGAAAGAAAGAAAGAAAGAAAGAAAGAAAATATAAATAAATAAAGAACATTACCAAAAAAAAAAAAAAGAGGAAATCGCTGAGAACATACACAGGCGATGTCTGCTAACGTGTCCACCCCTGAGTACCTGCACAAGGTCAAACTCTGAGGGTGTGAGCGGCTGCTCCAAGGGAAACCACCAACAACCTACTCCCGTTCACTGCTCAGTTATGTTGAACTTTTGCAGCGCCGAGATTACGATTTAACTAGTTATACAGCCTGGGGTTTGGATAAACAGACAAACAAAACGATGGAGGAATACCGAGACAGCCAGAGAGAGAGAGAGAGAGAGAGAGAGAGAGAGAGAGAGAGAGAGAGAAGGAGAGAGAGAGGGAAAGAATGAGAGAGATAGAGAGAGAGATCTACAACACTGGAAGAAATGCACTAGAGGGCAACAAAGGTCGCCAGAACAGTTAGTTGTTCAGCAGCAACAACCCTGACGCATCAAAAGATACCCGAACACCGGCACAGACATTCAGCAATAACTTAATGTGCGAAAGAAAGAAGGGGAAAGGAGACAAACAAACATGGACGGTGAAAGTCAACAGGTTAGGAATGCCTTCTATATTAAAACAGATTCGTCTGTATCAGTCTGCCAGCTTGTATTCGACAGTATATATGTTATCTTCAGAAGCTGCTTTTTCTGTGGCAAAAGCGCGCGCACATGTATACGCTTGCATACTCTCTCTCTCTCTCTCTCTCTCTCTCTCTCTCTCTCTCTCTCTCTCTCTCTCTCTCTCTCTCGTGGTTACATGTCTAATAGGAAGCCAACAAGGAATCAAACCCCAGATAACCACGAAACAAGACAGTACACTAAGGCTCTTTTGTGTCCTCTAGATCAGAGTTCCTCAACCCTTTTAACCCAGCGGCCCACTAAAACAGTGGAAATGGTTTCGCGGCCCACTTCACAACTAACTAAACACGAAACAAAAACGAACGCAGACAGCAGTTTTTTTCCCCGCGCGCGCGCGCGTGTGTGTGTGTGTGTGTGTGTGTTTGTGTGTTCATGGGTTAAATCTAACGATAACAAAATTACAGTTTTTAGCTAAAGCGACATCTGTGGCTAATTAGTTTTTTTTTTTTTTTCTAAGCATGTTATATGTGGCTGAAGCGTGGTTTCTTACACAGGAAGCTTTATAACATTCGTTATATGAATCAGCAGAATTTGGCGCCACGGCCTACCGTTTGAAAAACACTGCTCTAGATTAGGTATTAAAAAAAATATGTATATGTGAGCACTGAGCAGCCACAATGAAAAATACAAAGCGGTAGTAAACGATGCTAGAGTTATTAAAAAAAAAAAGCCATAGTTTCTTCTCATTGTAAAATGTACACTACTGCAATCAAAGCCGTCTCCGAAATGAAGGTTTACTTACGGAAATATCCTGAGCGCACTGATGTCAGTTCTTAAGTCGCCTCATTTCAACAAGTTCAGTCGTTAAGGTAAGCAGCAACGCAACTGCTATGAGCATGAGCCGTATAACTAACGTTTTGGCAGCAACAAGTTGATGGGTTTAGCGTTTAGTTTACATCTTTAATTGGTCCAAAGATACGGATAATGGATTGAATCCCACATTATTGTAAGGATTCACATTTTTAAGACTAATGATGTAGAATGCTCATAACGGCGCCCGCCAGCTCACCGTGTGGTGGTGTATTATGATAAAAGTAGCGCAACTCGTGGTTTAGATCTTCCGTCGACAACTCGTATCAAAAA